GAACGACTCATTGTCTAAATCGGGTTTATTTGAATCCATTTATATCTTTCATTCACGGTTGTAAAGGTTTACACAAAAATACTATATTCCAGTCGAATTTTACTCTGTCCACTTCCTCTGAATCATACAATAATAAACCAATTTATTTTTCAAAGCTTATGATCTATGCGATCTGGTACTTCCGGGTGCGTGAACATTTCCTAGTCGAAGGCCACGACCTACACAGGAGCCGTATATAAAGGGGCTTCCATTAACGGCAGTCAGCAGACACATCGTCCTCAGTGAGCCAAGAAAAGGTCCAACCATGAAGCTTGTGGTGAGTCGACATACCTGTGAGAGAACGAAGAATTTATCAATATTTATCGTACATACATTTGCATATATTCCTTTGTAGAAAGATGTGTACTATATATAAATACATTCACTCATATATACTTACTATACATGTCATATTTCATTGCACCACTTTCGTTCTTATCAATTATAAACAGTAACAATAATTAGGTATCACTGAAATAATTGATCAACAAGAGTTTGATTAATGATTAATGACTATCTTACAGGCAATCACGCTGGTGTGTTTGGCAGCGGCGGTGGTAACGCACGCCGATCCCGAACCACACAAGTATTACCACTACCCTTACTACTACTATTCTCACCACCACAATGTCAAGCCACTGCAGGGCGATGGAGTGGCCAGGCATCCAGGTGGCGGCACCTCCTTCGTGGCTCCTCAAGTTCACGGCCTCACTAAACGTTCAGCTGACCCCACGCCGGAACCTAACCCTGAATCAGCAGCTGATCCGCATGCCGCCAATAGATATAGTTACCAGGTAGTCCACCATGGCCATCCCCACTATGGATATCACCATGGATATCGCTACCCTTACTCTGGCTACCGCCACAACAATTACTATGGTTATCCTCACAGATACCACAGCCACCACAAGAGATCAGTCGAATCTGAACCCGAACCTGAACCATATTACGCCTATCAAGGACGCCCTCACTATTATAACAGATATTATACCGGTTACCCCAACTACTATCCTTACTACGCTGGCTACCGTTACCGCTACAGAGGATAAGGACGTACGTAGGTATGGACTGTGGCATGCCTTGTGACGATGGTCCTTTACTACATGTCTGATAGTCCGGTCTGCTCACGCCGCTTTTTCAGGCATTGATAGTATGGGAATCACTCTAAGGAAGCCTAACAAAACTGAGGAAATCTTTTTGATGTCGGAATTGTGTACAAAATAAAAAATATAATTTAATGAAGAATATGTTTACAATCCTTTAACTTTCCTTCTCGAAGATAATGCACACTCAGGATTTCTCTGGTTAAGAGAAAAGACATTTTTATGTGCTTTCTTGTTCTTTCCTTCGTTGTTTTACCTACACGTATGTAAATATATCAGTGTACATATAAATTAATCCACACATGCACACACACACATGTATAATTATATATTTACGTATATAGATATATCAATATACTTATCCATATATGTGTAAATATATATGTATGTATGTGTGTGTGAATATACATATGTGAAAATATATATGTATATATATATGCATATATATATATGGATATATATATGAATATATATATATGGATATATATGTATATGTATTTATATATGAGTATATATGTATATGTTTATATATATATATATATATATATATATATATGAATATGTGTATATATATGTGTGTGTGTGTGGATATATGTATTCCTATATATATATGAATATATATGTATATATCTATGTATGAATATATATGTATATGTATATGTATGTGAATATATATACATATATATGTATTTGTATAAACAGAGAGATTAACATTGGTATACATTTGTATAATACAAAAAAAAAAAAACGTTTTTCGTAGGTTTCCCTTTTGACGAAAAACATGGATTTTGGATTCCAGTTTTCCAAAATCTCAATATAAATATTCTTCTTACTATGGTCATTACATATGTTACATATATAAATTGATATATTCATAAGCATAACATTTCCACCCCCATACCCCTATATATATGTGTATGTATATATACATATATATACATATATATATATCAAATAATTATCATTAATTAATATATATGTATATTTTTATATATATTATACAGATCATATACTTATTCGTGTGTATTTGTGTGTTTATTATTGGTAATGTGCATTAATATATGGATGTCTCAGTAATGACTTCAGGGAGGTCTAAATCTTGTAGCAGAATGAATGGTTATACAATAATAATATATATGTTTGTATAAATATTTACATATATATATACGCCTAAATATACATACTGATATATATCCATATGTTAATACATATATAACTAAATATACATATTCATAAATATATTTATATACACTAGCACATATATATGTATATAAATTTATATATATACACTTGTATACGTATGTATGTATGTATGTATACATATATTAATATATATACATATGCGGAGGACACATACAGTATACATATGCGAGGCTTCATATATACAAATTTATATATATATTAATGTGTGTGCGTATGTGTGTGTGTGCGTATGTTCCAATAAGAATCACTTATTGAAAGAAATTTGTAACTTATGACCTCATATGGACTTTGGTCTCGTTTATATTTCACTTAAGTCTTAATAAGAGAGGACGATTCATTCTGAAACGGATTTATTTCGTCTTTGATTCACGACTGTAAAGGTTTTGACAAAAATACCATATTCTAGTCGTTGTTCTCTTATTCCCCTTCCTTTAAATCATATAGAAAGCAACAAAACAATTACTCAAATACTGAAGTAGTACATCCATGCGATCTGGTGCTTACACAACGTCCTTAGGGAGCCAAGACAAGGTCCAACCATGAAGCTTGTAGTGAGTCGACAGACCTGTAAGAGAATGAATTTATTAATATTTATTGTACATACACTTCCATATATTCCTAGATGGAAACATAACACACATTTAATGTATGTATATACATATGCATATATAAACACTTACACTTACGTGTATTTTTCCATTCTATTTTATTGTACCATTTTCGTTTCTATCAAATATTGATTAATTAACGGCAATAAGTATTATCACTGATATAAGTTGTCTATAGTGTTTGAAGCTTATCATTTTATTCGAAAACATTTTTTTTCTAGCAATTTAAATTATAATACATTTCCTACTTTTCAGACAGTAGCCGTGGTAACACACGCCGAACCCGAACCACGCAAAGACCACCACTATCCCATCCACCATCTATCTACTATTATCATGTCAAACCACTGGAGGGCGATGGTCAGGCATCCAGGTGGCAGCACCTCCTTCGTGGCTCCTAAGTTCACGGCCTCACTAAACGCTCAGCTGACCCCATGCCGGAACCTAACCCTGAACCAGAAGCTGACCTGGATACCGCCAATAGCTATAGTTAACAGGTTGTCCACCATGGCCATCCCCACTATGGACACAACAATGGCTATCGCTACCCTTACAATGGCTATCACTACAACCACTACTATGGTTATCCTTACAGATACCACAGCCGCCACAAGAGATCAGTCGAATCTGAACCCGAACCTTAATTTCATTATAGTTATCACAGACGACCTCACTACTACAACAGATACTACCACGGTTACCCCATTACTATCCTTGCTACGTCGCTTACCGCTACCGCTACAGGAAATGAGGAAAAACTGTGGCGATGGTCCTTTACCATATGTGTCTGATAGTCCGGTTTGCTCACGGCAGGTTTTCAAGCACAGGCAGTATGGCTGTCACTACCTAAAACTCAAAGATTTTCTTTGGCAAGTTGGAAATGGAAATTAAATATATGAAGAATGAAGATTGCAGTCAGTAATAGAGAATCTACTCACCCACCTAACATTATGGATAACTGCAAATAGTTTTATATATATAAATTCTAAACTTCTACTTTTATAAAGGTATACTTATGAAACTATTTTGAAATACCTGTTGACCATTTTTAGCCTTTTAAGTAGTGTATTCAGAACATTCAATTCCCCATTATGAAAAAAAAACTTTGTGACAAGGACGCTCAGCTGTAATTCCTAAATAAGTATCCATTTAATGCACATTATTTTATAAAGTCGGAGCGTTTTAACGTATCTCTTAGACTTATATATATATATAAATATATATATATATATATATTTATATGTACATATATATGCATATTTATATGTACATATATATGCATATTTATATGTACATATATATGCATATTTATATGTACATATATATATACATATATTTGTGTAATATATATACGTATGTATGTATATACGTATATGTATATGTATATATATTAATCAGGATATATTATATATATATATATACTTTTATATACATATATATAAATATATATACATGCATATGAATATATAAATATGAGTGTATATATATATATATATATATGTGTGTGCGTGTCTGTAAGTATATGTGTTTATAAATATCTGTAATCATGTATATGAGATGTACATGATTACAGAAATAAAGCTATATGCATGTGTATATGTGTGTATATATATAACATATGTGTGTGTGTATGAGAATGTACAGTTAGGAGGACTATTCCATTCGGGTGCGTGAACCTCTGCTCGTCGAAGGCCATGCACAGGAGCCGTATATAAAGCAGTAAGAGGTTCAATTATGAAGCTTGTGGTGAGTTGTCATACGTGATTAATACTTCAGTATCTATAGAATTACATATATACGGTCAAACGAATGTGTTGAGCTAAATATGTGCATATGTACATACATACATCTAGGCAGTGGGCAGATGGGCCACATCTGCACGGGAAATGAACGCTCCCGCCCTCCATGAGTTTCCTGCTGCCTTGCAGGTTGGCCCTGGCTGGTCAAAGGCTAGGACAAGGACAGTCCGATATAAAACCTACGACCTGAGGATCTCGCTGTCATCGTCCCAGCCTGCTGGGCCATGGCAGATGGATCACGGGTGTAAAGGGTGGGGTCAGGACTGCGCACACTGCACTCTACCTAAAATCCACTGCGCAGGCTCGAAGGACATGCCCACGTCTACGACGCCACCAACTCTTTCAACTCTTCCAAGTCCTGTAGCGATGGGAAGGGGGCAAAAACGGCAGGTGAAAGATGTCACTGGAAGCCGCAGTTCCAATCCTGCATGCAGGCGGTTCATCATTACCCTGTACAAAAACAAGGGGGAAATGTCAGACTGCTCCAACTACAAGGGGATAACTCTGCTCTCCATTGCAGGGAAGATTTTCACCAGAATACTCCTGAATCGGCTGGTAGTTAACATCGCCGAAGAACATGTCCCCGAGAGTCAGTGCGGTTTCAGAGCCAGCAGAGGCACCAACTGACATGGTCTTTGTTCCCAGACAGCTACAAGAGAAATGTCGGGAACAGAACAAAGGTACATGACATTTGTCGATCTCACAAGTCTTCGACACCGTGAGCAGGAAAAGCCTATGGGAGATCATGAAACGTCTGGGATGCCCCCAAAAGTTCCTCAGCATGGTCATCCAACTACATGAAGATCGGCGTGGACAGGTCAGACACAGCACCGACCTTTCAAAGCCTTTTCCAATAAGTAGCGGCGTGAAACAAGGTTATGTCCTCGCACCAACCCTCTTCACGATCTTGTTCAGCATGAATCTCAAACAGACCACTGAAGATCTCAGTGACGATGATAGTGTCTACATCAGATACCGCTTTGACGGCAGCCTATTCAACCTGAGCCGTCTACAGTCCTACACTTAGACATTAAAGCAACTCATCAGAGAGCTCCTATTTGCAGACGATGCCGCCCTTGTTGCCCACACAGAAGCGGCCCTGCAACATATAACGTCCTGCTTTGCAGAGACTACGCAGCTCTTTGGTCTAGAAGTAAGCCTGACAGAAGTGCTTTCGGCAGGCTATACAAGAGAGTGTGGAACAACAAACATCTGAAGAAAGACACAAAGATCAGTGTATACAGAGCTGTTGTACTAACCACCCTGTTGTACGGTTCCGAAACCTGAGTTACCTACCGGCATCACATACATCTGCTTGAGCTCTTTGAGCAACGCT